CCCCAATGATTCATCCAAATTACATCCCGAGGCACATACAGTATCTCACACCGATATATCTCTCAGGTTTCTTGTGACCGGTTACACTCAAAAAAAAGGTTTCCAGACCCTCGGTCACTTGGGCTGCCATACTAACCCCCTCTTCAGTTCGTGAGCCCACAGGACTAACATTGCGGCTAACCTAAAGCCATACAGCAAAGTTCTATCTGAGGTGTCTAAATATTGGAAAGCTCGTGCTTACGGTGATTGAATGCTCTATAACGGTACCCCGGGGATCCTCCTATCATTATCGACACTCCCGAACACAGAACAGCACGGTATAGTAAATCACCGCATTAGCAGTCGCTCACCCACCCCCACCCACCCCAAGGGAAGGTACGGTAAATCTATTAAAACAAAAAATCCTATCAAAAGTAACATCGGCCAATAGGCAAGCCAACATAGAAGTTCAAATCGAGTAGCCACACGTGCATTCGCCTGCGCTGCAGTTTGGCCTAACGTAGCACCCCACCAATTCCAAACCTAATCCACACAATTGTCTTATCATACCGAAAAAGAAAAAAGAAACCATTCATCCCACTTTCCCTCGCCCCTCCAATTCATCGATAGATAGAAAAATACGGCACGGTAGACTCTTTGACCCTCTTAACTGGCGACAACGAGAACTGACGCAACAGAATCAAGACCCCGATCAGATCAGAACACACAATGCAGGGCGTACGACTTGGGGATGATTGGGGAAGTTCGCGTGTTCATCTCTCTCTAACTAACTACCGATATCTAAAGAGCAAAAGCAGGAGTAGATATAAATCATAACCGAATACATCCTCCTATGATTCTATAGATCACCACACATATCCATACTCTTCCAGGTATGTCTCCTTTCATGTTTCCTTGCGTGCTAACAAAGGAAAGACAGGTATCATAATGGCTTCCCCGGATCGTACCCTTTGTGCCTCCGACTCTTTCATTTCCCTTCCGGCTCTTCCGTTTTTCCTTCTGGAGGATGTATTAATCCCAAGCTTAAGCTCATCCCCGGAGTTTATCCGAACAATAAAACAATAATCTGAGCATGCCGAGCAGAATCTAACGACTTTCAACAGATCCCTCTTCCCTCAACCTGAATGAGGGCATCCCCAGTATGGGGGCTGAGAGCCTCTCTCTTTCTTTCCCTTGATATGTTCTCATAGCGATTAGGAAGGAGCTCTGTTATTGCGACCTGCACTTTTACTACACCGTTCGAAGATGTTTGCAACCGGCCTCGCGAGGCCTACTGTTAGGGTACTGGCTATTCCGCAGTGCTAACGCGGCTTCTGTCCCGGGGTCCTGTGGTCTTTGCATACCTGTGTACATACAGATATCTTCCTGGTGGCTTCTTTGCTAGAATTTTCACAACTAAATTGATCCCGGGGCGAGTGAGATTAATGATAGCTCCCCCTACCCTCCATACTAAGATCTATAGCGGGGGCGACCAGAATATATCAGCTAAGACGCGATCATACTATTCATTAAGCCATACCATTTATGGTAACTAGCATCCTATCGTAGATACAGTCTTCGTATAGCTATTAACAATCACCTCAAGAACCTCTGCGCTACCTCACACCACCCATCCTCCATCTGAACAGCACTCTATATACAATTTATCTATCGTTAAGGACAAGGGAGGGGGGAGAAGAAATGAAGAGAACAACTGTTTAAGAAAAGCGAAAGACACGCATAGTTACTCGTAAAAAAGTTACAGCTAGAACTTCAAGCGCCGGTAGTAGAACAACCTCAACTACTCGAGTAGATCTACCGGTAAACATATACTTTCACAGCCTAAATATCTGACACTGCAAAGACAATCCCCATTAGAAGCCACAGATACCATCGCAAGTTCTAACATCGTGAGTCTCAACTCAGGATACAAGGCTTTCCCACTTGATATAATATAAGTTCTCCCACTATATACATGACCGCTACAACCACGAATAAAATTCACCATTTCTCCCATCAAAAGTCGGACCCCCCAGTTAAATAAATCCCGTGTGCCTCTCATAACGCGAACGATAATCATTCATTTACTAGTAGTTAAGAAGCCTTAATAGCCCTTACAAAAGGCCCCCAATAACCCCATCCAATATCTCACCCGGAGGCACCCATCCCACCCTTATAATACCTAATACCTCTTTCATGTCTCCCGAGATCAATTAGGCTCCAGAAAAAGAGTTTCTTAACCCTCGGACCCTAAGGCTCCCATAATAACCCCTTATTAGATTGTGAAAAACCACAGGACTAACATGTCGGCTAACTTAAAACAGCTCAGCAAGGTATCATACTATCTAACCTCCCCAAATATCCGAAAACTCCTGGTTTCAATGGTGGAATTTTCTGTAACGCTACCTAAGAGATCCTATTTTTTAATGATGGTTGACACAGCTAAGCATAGCACAGCGCATTCGAGTATAGCACCACATTATACCAAATCATTGCCTCGGCAATCATCCGCCCATTTCAATCCACTCCAATGGAGGGAAAATCTGTAAAAACAAAAAACCTTGCCGGGAGTGGTGTTTGCCAATAGGCAAGCCAGCACGTAAGTTCAAATCACTCCCTGAATACTCCTGCTTTAGATAGCCCGAGCCCCCTTGCCGCTAATCTTGGGTATGTCAAACACTCCCCCTATGTAGAAAAAAAAGACATTGACAATGTTTAAAATAGTACGAAGAGAAGTATGCTTACCCCATCGCCCACTTAAGGTCTCACGGTAGTCCGAAATTACGGGAGACTCAAGGGCACTATTCCATTCAGTCGCAGAGTCCGAAATGGTTTCGACAACTTGCCAAGGGACCGGAGAGGATGTAATTGACGACATTTTGAAGAGTTTGAGGCGAGAAGAACAAAAAGGCCCTTGATTACCGAGTGAAAACTTCTTTGAAAATCTCTACCAAAATGTACGGGGTAATGGCCAGTTAACCCTGCGCGCACTGGTGATATCACCTGATCACCAAGAGATCTATATATAGCAGAGTGATTGATCATGATCGAGCTTACTCGAGCATAGTCGAGTATGATCAACTATGATCGAGCAGCACCCATGCTTGACGAAATCGAGCAGATCATGAGCCTTATGCTCGAGCAGGTCGTGGTCGAGGTACCTCTATGATCGTAGTAATCGAGCAAGCCATCGTTAGCCAAAACTCGATCATGATCTGATCGTGGCCATCACTACTAACAAGTCTCCTACCCTAGAAAACAGTCTTCATATAGCTATTAGCAATCACCTCAAAAAGCCCTGCACTATCTTGCGCTGCTTATCCTCTATCTAATCAACACCTATATACGATCTATCTACTATTCAGAAGAGAGGAGAGAAAAGGAAGAAAAGGAAGAAAAAAACTATATATAGAAAAACCATGCAGGCAGAAATTTACAGCCAGAGAAAAAATAAATCACAGGACGAAAACCGCAAGCTACAAATCAGAACTCCTCACAACAATAAAACTCTTTACTCCCACGAACCCAAAGTCTACAGAACTTATAGACAGAAACTCATAAATCCTCACTAGATGAAAGCAAAGCGCCGAAAAGGGCAGGAAGGTATGACATATATGTGCATTCCCACTTCATGAAATATCCATCTACAAAAGGTGATGCCCAAGTACAAGCGGCGTGAGTAACGGACTCTGAGGGAGAGGAGCGGCTTTTTCCACGAGGCGGTCTCCGAGGCCCTAAATCGTGCTAGGGGTTACTGTTTTTCGGGATTGTATCAGGGCTACCACTCTATTATGATCGGTGTTTGGCCGTCATTATCTGGTTTGGCGGGAGTAACCTCTTCCCGCCCAAGAAGGAGTTCCACCACTCCTTCATCCACCCTTAGCGGCATACTAGAGCGATGTCTGGTCGCGATCATCTAGCTTGTCAGGATTGACCTCTTTCCGTCCGAGTAGTAGTTTCACAATCCCCTCATATCCATCCGAAGCGGCATACGAGAGCGGTGTCCGGCCGCCACCGTCTGGCTTGTCGGGATTGACCTCTTCCCGTTCGAATAGTAGTTACCACCCCCTCATATCCGCCCGAAGCGGCATACGTGAGCGGTGTCCGGCCGTGCCTATCTAGCTTGTCGGGATTGACTTCTTCTCGTTCGAGTATCAGTTTCACCACTCCCTCATATCCCCACAAAGCGGCATACGAGAGCGGTGCCCGGCCACCATCATCTAGTCTGTAGGGATTAACCTCTTCCCGTTCGAGTAGCAGCTTCACCACTCCATCATATCTAGCACCGGCAGCATGCGTGAGCGGTATTCGGCAGAATTTATCTGGTTTGTTGGGATTGACCTCTTCCCGTTCGAATAGCAGTTTCACCACCCCCTCATGTCCATTATGAGCACCCCATGTAAGTGGTGTATAACCCAAAAAGTCTCCTTCGCTGATATCACAACCTTTCATTTCTATCAAAGCAGCTACAACTTCAATAATTCTGATGACCAATGCGCAGTGAAGCCCATTGAACGGAGGGAAGGTATCAATACACGAAAAATACAAATGTGATACTTGTTCTAAAAGTAATTTGGTCGGTATCTGGCCATAATTCACGTTTAATAGCTCCACCGCAAGTAATCTCATGCTGTCCGAGAGCTCCCTCTTCGCGTGGACCCCCCAGTATACTGAGCAATACTCGATCGAGGACGCGCTGTGCGCAATGGAAGCTGCCGATACACGCACCACTGGGACCCTTCCGTGAGGTTAACGTCGAGTGAAGAAAAAGATGTGCTCGTATTCGAACTAGCTTATGATGGTGATGTGTTCTCGATCTAGAGAGAAGGAAAGGGAACGAACTAGATACAGATCTGGTGTGGCCACCCACGCACAGCGCACTAACCCTAGATATACCAGTACTCTCTAGACTCACTCTATGTACAATTTTCGGCTGAACATATTGTTTGAATGATACCCTGTGACTCGATGGAGTTTACTAGAAATAAAAGGAGATAGAGCAGCTATGCAACTTGTAATGTGGTTTCGTGGTGTAGTAAGTTATCACACTAGTCTAACACACTGGTCGTCCCCGCTTCGAGCCTGGGCGAAATCAATTTTCTTTCTGCTCACAAAATCCTTTTTTTTCCCTTCATCTAGGACTTTATACACACCATACATATGAGCAATTCGCCACTCCTCGGTTACCTACATTCACCAAAATTTAGGTAGTAATTCTCATCTAACTTATTCCCCTAGTTTATCTGTTTTGTCGGGTGATGTTGTATGATTCTCGGCATGGTGAGAGGACTTCCTCCTTGGGCTTATCGGGGCGAAAGCTATTTATTATGTATTACACCTTATACACACAGACAAAACAGTTGTATATTTAACCTACCCCTAGGCTTTACCATCGCTCACTCAGGCTACCATTTTACAATCGCTGTATAAAATAAGTCAGCAAAAGTTCACATTTGACCCCCATACCTCATGAGGGATAGGGGATATGGGGGGCCAAATTATAAAACTCAAGTTGTTGTATCTCTGGTCCATGCACCATAACTCCGGAATAAATCCGGGGTTACGGGGCATTTTGTTTTGTGTCGGTAATTTCGTTGTCATGCAACGTTTTCTGGACGCACTTCGTCCTCTTTGAGCCGTTGCACGGTCCATTCGCACTTGACTCTTCTACTTTAGTTTATCCGGCATTACCTCTCGTGCCAGGAATTGTTCCATTATGAATTTCTGCCCCACGACTCAATCATGCTTCCTGACAGCCCAAACAGGCCATTGGATGGTCCATTCCAGCTTTGACCGGTTCCCCTGTATTTCTCCGGCATTACCTCTCGCGCCAGGAATTGTTCTGTTGAGAATTTCTGCCTCACGACACAATCATGCTTCCCAAAAGACCAAACACGCCGTTGTCTGGTTTATTCCAGCTTTGACCTTTCCCCTATAGTTTATCCGGCATTACCTCTCGCACCACGCATTGTTCCCTTGTTGATCCAAACATCCTGTTCTGAATTTCCTATTGACATACTCTACGCGACTCTGAACGTCCGCAATGCACCGTTCCCCGTAGTTGTTCTACTTTCCTAATTCTCGCTTATTTCTCCCCTTCCTCGTTGTCATTGCCCCATGACCTAATCCAGCCCCAATAATTTCTCCGTGTATACAATATCTAAGCGGACGCTATTCGTCGCTTTCGCGACGAGGACCATCGATTTTTTAATGATGCGTGACCATGCGCTGGCTTATTTCTTCCCTGTTCTCGCCTTCCTGCCCTCTTCATGGCTCTTTGAGACTTTCCCTTGGCCCTAAGCGACTT